ACATTTCCTGAAAAATTATTTTATTTATTTGTTTGCTAGATGCTTAGCTTAATTCATTTAAACAAACAAAATGTTTTAAGAGCAAATTACATTTTTCTTTCAATAAAATTGCAAAAAATTGACAAAATTTTTCTGTTCGTTAATCCGTTTTTTTTTTTATTGTGTAAAATAAAATTTTTAAACTATACGAAAAATGAAAGAAAAAGAAGAGATGGTGTAAAGACCAGCCTAGTTCAAGATGATCGATGAAATAATTTCTTCCCTGTCCTCGTTGATGGTAAAATGTATATATAATACAAAATGTAATTGTCACCATTAAACCAATTGTTGCAGCAATTGTCGCGCCCAATACGACATGAATATTGGTGCCAAAGAGCATGAACTTAGAGGATTTCTCACGGAAAACAATAATATCCGTATCACCATTCCTGAATTTTCAATATCTTTCCGTGTATTACGTGTTTTCCGCATTTTTGAATAAGCACTTTTCTCGAATTGCCCTTAAATTGTTTCACTTTCCGGATAATACCGTCATTTCAAGGACTTTTATAGTACTTCCCGAAATTCATCACATTTTTAAATTTTCAATTATGAAAACGAAATGAGAAAATATGAAATGCTAGCTGATATCGATCATTAAAAGACGAGGAGAGAAGCTATACTAAGGTAAGTGAGCATTTCTAGTTTTTTCTCTCGAAATTCATTAAACTAAGATATAAAATGTCGAAATATCAACGAACCTTGTTTCGAATTGTGAATAATCAACTTCATTACCGACAATGTCATTCCAAAATTTCTTTAAGCGTTCCATTTTGTTACCTTGAAAAAAAAAATCTAAATTTGCTATTTAAATGAAAATATTTCCACTCGATCGATTTTCGCTGCAATTATTGAACGAAAAATTCATTATTACGAATTTAAATTCAGTTTTTAATGCGTAAAAAAATCTGAAATGTAAGAAATCATTAAAACTGCTCAAATCATTCCTGTTGCTTTTTTTTGTTGTAATGAAATGAACAGCACATAAAACCATGTTAGGCTTACCTATAATTCTCTTTATATAAACAGATTCTAAATTAAATCTCAATACAAAACGAATTTTGTTATCCGATTAAAATAATTATTTTTTAAAACAATTCACAAATATTATTTACTTTCCCCTTCCCATATCGAGCAATATTTCATCGAGAAAGCAAAAAGAAATAATTTAAAAATGAAAAAAAAAAAC